TTTTTGTGGCATTGAATTGAACCTGGTTATTTTCACTCCAATTCGAAATTACTTGTAGATCCTCATTAAGATATGCAACCTTCTGCAGCTGGTGCAATTGCAAATTAGAAATCCTAGCAACTTAGTTACTTTCGAGGCTAATAACTGATTAACATGATAATTGAAGTGAATTTGCTGTCCACACCAAGCATACCAAGATCCTCAATTGGAAAAATTAGCCTGGTGTAGGCTGTAATTTACCATTTTGAAATATTGGGATTCAATTCGATCACCAATCGCTCAGAATATCAATATCAGTTTTTATTTATCCTTAAGATCATCATATCATCCAGTAATATTCATCACTACACAAAAAGTTACGAACAGTGCATCACCGTATGTGAAAGCTGTTCTGTGTGAGATATTTGTGCTGTCATTGTTCAATTATGGTGATTTCATTTATATCCCATGCTCAACAAGCCATTACCGAAACAAAATTCAAAAGATACAAAATTCATGGTTGGGGCCAATTTTTGGAATTCGTAGACGTCAAAGGATATCGCATAAATCATGAGACATCGGATTGTTGAATATGGCAAATAGAAGACACATACATCCACAATCTGAATCAAAGGTACTTTGACTCCTCCAGCCTTTAGAACAGAAACCTTCAAACGATAATTCTCATTTTAAATCACCAGAATCTATAGTGAAATCCCCCAGAAGATAAAACACGAAAGCATTTCACAATTCAAGAGTCACCTAAAGTTATATTCACTTCTGAGTCAACTGTGATCAAGTAGTAAGTCCCCAGTAGTTCTTTATTCTAAGCAACCTCAGTAAACTCTATTTAATTCTTGTTTTTTCTCCTTAACTTTTATTCTGAAGATAAAACACACACTATATCTATATGTGAAACCATTACATATATCTCATGAAGGTTGAGTGGAAAAACAGTTTTTTTTGAGACCTGTTTTTACAAAAAGTGAACTCCGCCTTTTATTTTCATTTATACTGAATTATATTCAGAATAAAATATTATAAAAGTGTCTAATGAGTGGAAATGATAAAGACGTTGATTATTATCATTATTATTATTCACAGTTCACTTTATGCAACTTTTCCCAATCCCACCGCATCCTCTTTTGTTTACCTCGTTCCCAAGCTCATTTCAGAGGATCCGCAAGAGTCCCCAACGTCATGAATAAACTCGTTATCGCTTTGCAGGTCCGCAAGAGAATTGTTCATCCGAAATTTCGATATAGAGCCACCCAGCCCGACAGATTCGATTTGGCATTATTGGAAATGGTGACGAAGGCAGGCCGTGTTTTCCATATTTCTCCGATATGTCTTCCGGATGCTCATCTCAAACTGAGTGGGCGAAACGCAGTGGTTGCCGGATGGGGAAAGATTCAGCCCTCGAACGAGCTTATGGGGACGAACGTTTTGAGGAGTGCCACTGTTCCTATTCTGGGTAGTCGTTTTTGAATATTTTCATTCTCATTGATATTACTACTATTCAGATTCAAATCAAATACACCCAGATGCATGAAAAATGGCCATCTTCAAATGTTGACAAATTTTGATCTTGAATAACGTTTTTGTTTTTAGCGCTATTTTGATCATTTTCTTGACTAATGGAAGTACATTTATTCCGGAGCTGCTTGCATCAAATGTAATTCCTGATAAGGCTCCATCTATACACAGTTTTTGGGCCTGTCTTTCCGAGTAAAGACACGCCCGAAGAAGCCATTGTATGGCAAAACACGTGTTGCGTTTTTGTAAAATCGTTTGGTGAAAATCTCACAATAAAATGTGTTTTGAATAGGTTATATCTAGCTTCCTTAGATGGTTAACATTTTGAAAAGTAAAGCTTTTCCTTATTCATAAAGTTCACTTGTAAAAGCACTTCAGACGAAGACAGGTATACTTCCTCTGACAAGCGTCAAAAAAATTAAATGTACCTACAGATATCATATTCCATAATTTATATCGGATGTATTCTGAGAATTCAATTAAACTTTCATATTAGTCAGTGGGCTATGCTTGAAGACTGGCAGCGAACAAATCTAAAGAAATGAACTTTAAAAATTGTATGGAAATTTTCTGTGAAGATTCCTGCACTGACGCCTGGCGGATATAATCCAACGCCCTTCGTGGTATTAGCCAGGGGAGTAGTTGTTTTCTGATAGGCGTCAGTCCATTCAACCTACTGTGTAGGTATATCCGAGACAAGCTTGAACGTTCAGAGTTTATTTCGTTAGATTTAATTCAGTTAGGGTTCATATTTCCGGGTTCATATTTCCATAGTCTATCTCTCACTCTAGCGTTGGGTTTGACAATATATGCGATTTTTTCGAATTTTCCAATCCTTTCGTAAGGTTCTTTGGTAACAATTGCTCTCCTTCATTTTATTGCGTGATTACCAGTTGATTTTGAAATATTTTCCGCTCTTCACATATTCACGAAGCTTGTTTTTTAACGTCTAGGGATCTTGTCGTTTGTCAAAGGACGTATGTGTCTCCGTCTGATATGTTATTACAAGTGATTTTTTTGAGTTTTGAGAACGGAAAGAAAATAATTTCCGAAACGTTGAATATCTAAAGAAAGATATGTATACAAAGTCAATTTTTCTGTAGATTATTCAATATGTTGGCAAACTTTGTGAATGAGACAAGTTACTGACTGATTGGAATCTTCAGTATTTCACGAGCATATCATGCAACAGCCTTTCGGTGAGAACTCTCAATTTTTCAGATTGTGGAAGGTGAAATCTTCAAAAAACAGCAAGAAACCTTGACTCCTTCACAAAAAATGTTTTTCAACATAGTGTCTAGAAGCCAAATGAAATAAATTCATTATTTAGGTTACGGTACATATTTTAACAAAATCCATAAACACGTCAAATCTAAATTATAATTTGACATACTTCAACGGAAAACTGCTACGCCTANCAGACATCAGAGAATGTATGGCCTGGCACAAAATCAAACGCATTACTGTTGACCTCCACCATGAAATGCTGTGCGCCGGCCACGAAAATGGCAAACACGACGCTTGCCTGGGAGACTCGGGAGGTCCTCTGATACTCCTGGATCAAGGAAAGTGGACTTTGGTGGGGATTACAAGTGCCGGCTTCGGATGCGGAGAGCCACACCAGCCCGGGATTTACCACAAGGTCCCCGTTACAGCGCAATGGATCAAGAGTGTTATAAACAAATGAAAGTTCGAATCGATAAGTTATCGATGATGCATTGGATGTTGAGAGAATAGAAAATTGACGCAAGTGGTTGAAAAACTGAATGTATTTTATGTATAAATCAAAACAGCAACTAGGCAGCTGTGCATCAAGTGCAATTCCCTTGTTTTTGAGGTCAGAAGTTTCAGAAATTTTTTCTAGTTCATTGAATGCAACATTCCTGGTGAAGAAACAATTGAAAACTTTTTTGGGTTTCTACTTCTCCAATTTTATACAAATCTTCCAAAAAAAGGAAGGAAGAAATCAATTTCAAATAATAACTTCAACAAAGATGTGCAGATTACTCAAAGAAGTAATTTTTAGACACAAACTGGATGAAAAGCCGTCTCATAACAGCTACTCTCATATAAATATTTAATTACACGAAAGAATAATACTTTTATGAGAACATTGATTTATCCAAAGAATACTTTTCTCTATTCAGTTCGTATTCCAAACATTCGTTATGGAATCGAATCAGATTTCATTCATAGGATTCCTACTCAATATAGCGAATGAAAGAGGTACAATTTTCCTCAAATGAAACACTGTCATCCTCACTGGTGTTTATCAGATGTTTCAATGTGAAACATTTAACTTATCGCCTCTTCAGTACCAAATCTGGATAACACTATAGAAACAATATTCATAAAATAGAAAGCGAAAACCTTTCTTTCTCAAAAATTAGTCTTTGCTAAATATATACCTCTTCCAATTCAATTCAAAACCTATTTCGATTCTAACGGAAATAAACTCAAGTCAAGAAATTCTAATACAACCCGATATGTTTTCGAACCAGTCAATAGAATATAAAATTATTTTTGAATGATATGAATCTAGTGATCATTGGAGCTGTAGGAGCCATTTTTATAAGTTCAGTATGACACTGTGGCGTCATCAACATATTGTCAAACATCTTGATGAAGTGAGAAACAATAACGTATTCAAAAAACACTTTATTGTGTTTTTTGTGTTAAAGACACACAGTAAAGACACACTCGAAGAAGCCATTTTATGGTGAAACACGTCTCACAATGAAGTGTTTTTTGAATACGTTAGTTATGGATTTTCATCCAGTATCGGCCAATTCCATCATATATTTTGAGAAACAATAGACGATGCTTGCTCAGTTTTTGAACAAAAGTTCAGGAATTGAAATTTCTCACCAATTCACATACTTTTCATTTTTCCAAATGCACTTACTCTATATATCTGTGAAAGTTTTTAAAACTTAACATCAAAGTGTTTCTCTTGTACTAAAATCAAATCTCAAAGATACTATGCGGTTCATTTTTCTCTGCTAGTGAAAAATTGCATTTTTTTGTTTTCGACAATGCCAATTTATAAGATACAGGTGAAAGCTTTGAAACTGACACTTTTGTACTGACATAGAATAATGTACCGCATGCATAGTATTTTTGACATTTGTTTGTAGTAAATGAGATACACTTCAATGTTAAAGATTTGAAACATATAATTTTCTATCACAAATTTCGATAGAGATGGAATCAAAACTGACATTTGATTTAAAAATTAATTATGAAGTGAATATTGAAAAACTTTCAATATTTGAATTTCATTTAAAAACTGAGCAAACAACTTCTTTTGTTTCTGAAAACATTTGGTTTTTTGACAATATTTAGGTTTCTGAAAATATTTACATAAATGACGTCAGATTTTAACAGATTCTCTAACAGTGTCACCATATTGAATTTGGAGAAAATGATTCTTGCAGCGTAATGTAAAGAAGTCGTTACTTGTGATATAACGTTGGAAATGTATGTCAAAGAAAATATAGAAGGTTCAATATGAAATTTTTGACACGAGTTCATTTCAGGTAAAACCGAAATTGTCTATTCATCAGTAATATTGGTTCAAAAGAACTATACGTTTGTTCGGAATTTAAATTTCATCACCCCAGAATCATGTGAATGGCGCCGTAGCTACCTAAAATTATTTCGTTGTCACCCGGTATACAGGTTTACGTCTTTAGAATTCAAATAACTTCTTCAGTAGATACTGTGTAATGTTTTCTAGTTTCTGTTAATACTTTTGCTTCCAAATTATTTTATAGGATATATCTAACTGGAAACATTTCCAGTTGAATCTCACTTCGTGTAGTATATTACTTTTTTTGTGATTCCAAGTTACTGCATAATTTCTTCAAATTTTAAAATATTTCTAGATGGACATATGCTGACCAAAATTAAATATAATTCTCGTTCAATGATCATAAATGATCAAAGATCATAAAAGTTGTCTTTTTCAGTTTCAAAATCAGATTTTCCTATTGAAAATGAGTAGATGACATATTCTACAGAACAATACCCGGGGACAAACATAAGTTTGTCCCCAATTAAAGTCATTTGATATAATACAAAATGGGATTCGTTAACTTTTCGATTCTGTTTGGTGAATTTGCATTTTAAGAGTGATACGAGCGATTTTAATAAAACTATCAGGAAAAATATGAATAATACTGTTTAGAAAATGGCAATACTTTAAAGCAACTTCGTTATAATGACTTCATTTTATTTTCGCATAGCCATTGTACATGTATCCGAGAAGAATTGTTATTGAGATAAATTGGATATTATCTTCCTGAAATTTTTTCAGAAGAAGAATTGAATAATGCGAAAAAGAAGGTGTGTCTGACTTGATTTCACTTTTTATCTCGGTCAAGACTGGTTTCGTTTGATATGAAAATGAGAAGATAATATTCGCACCGTCAACAATTCTTTCTTTATTCACATATCACACCCCCAATTGTTTTTTATCCAGGGTCAAACAGGAGAATCAACACATACTATAAATGTAGTTGAACAAGATTAACAAAGACAAACGTTTCAATCAAACTTTTGCAGGAACAAAAAGTGATATGTCAGTCACTAAGCAATGAACATTCATCAATATCATTTCGCCAAATCAGAAGAAAATGAGTTGTAATTTGATTCAACTGATTTTTATTTTCAGAAGAAGGCAGTTCAGGTATCTCTCTCTAGACTCGGATACTAGAGCCCGGAAGGACCGCGAGCCCCGACACCTCGAACGCTTGGATCCGTACAAAAGCAGGCGAGGATCACGGAACAGCATAAGCCGTCCAGTGCCTCGGTATGGGGCTGCAATGCACCCATGAATGGATCACCGCATCCCCTATCCCTTTACCCGCTAGTGGAGCCGCTGCCCCTAAGAGGCCAACGCCAGTTGGAGATGAGGCTCGCTAGCCTCCAGCCACGAGCAGGCACTCACCTTCCCCCTAGAACTCATGTTAGGAAAATTCCTTTTCCAACGTTTGATGAGTAACCGTCGAGGACTCTTTCGAGCGTACTCTACCACACATCATATGTCGAAGATGTCGCGCCCATTACCCGTGTAGGTGCGGGATAGGGCGGTTCATCAACAACTTTTGGGTGTACGCCGTGTGGTCTGCACCGCATACCCTTACGTTACCCCGAGGGGCACTCATGTTAGGAAAGTTACCTTTCCAGCGTTGGATGAGTAACCGCCGAGGACTCTTGCGAGACACCTCTCCCACACATCTAGCTTGAAACCGGCCAACGCCCGTTACCCGCAGATGCGGGATTGGGTGGTTGACCGATAACTTTACTGGGTGAGTGCCGTGTGGTCTGCACCGGGGGACTGTCAAACACCCATAAGAGAGAGACAGTGATCCCCCGCCACTCACCCCGATGGCATCTCTAAGAATACCCTTTACCCTTCTCAGGTCCATACGCGAAAACAATACTCCAAAGAAGGTTTGATCTGAGCTTTATAAAGAATCAAAAGTTGCTGAGGTATGTACATTTTTTTGGTTCGGAATATTGCTTTAAGCTTTTGAGACGCGGCTTTTGCAATTAAAGAAAGCGACATGATTGTGCCAAGACATATTGGTGATCATTTTAACTCACAACAAATTTATCGAATCAGAAAGTGAAATTATTTGACCTGACAGTATTATATCTGGTTCGGAGACATTTATCTTTTTGGAGGAAAACGACTCCTGGGTTTTTTGTGGCATTGAATTGAACCTGGTTATTTTCACCCCAATTCGAAATTACTTGTAGATCCTCATTAAGATATGCAACCTTCTGCAGCTGGTGCAATTGCAAATTAGAAATCCTAGCAACTTAGTTACTTTCGTGGCTAACTGATTAACATGAGAATTAAAGTGAATTTGCTGTCCACACCAAGCACACCAAGATCCTCAAAGTTACTCACACGAGTGTGAGTATATTCAATTAGGATATTAGGATTCAATTCGATCACCAATCGCTCAGAATATCAATATCAGTTTTAAGATCATCATATCATCTAGTAATATTCCTTACTACACTCAAAAGTTACAAACAGTGCATCACAAATACCGTATGTGAAAGCTGTTCTGTGTGAGACATTTGTGCTGTCATTGTTCAATTATGGTGATTTCATTTATATCCCATGCTCAACAAGCCATTACCAAAACAAAATTCAAAAGGTACAAAATTCATGGTTGGGGCTAATTTTTGGAATTCGTAGACGTCAAAGGACATCGCATAAATTATGAGACATCGGATGGTTGAATATGTCAGAAACCTTTAAACGATAATTCTCATTTTAAATCACCAGAATCTATAGTGAAATCCCCTAGAAGATAAAACACGAAAGCATTTCATAATTCAAAAGTCACCTAAAGTTATATTCACTTCAGAGTCAACCCCGATCAAGTAGTAAGTCCCCAGTAGTTCTTTATTTTAAGCATCCTCAGTAAACTCTATTTTATTCTTGTTTTCTCTCCTCAACTTTTATTCTGAAGATAAAACACACTCACTAAGGTTGAGTGGAAAAACAGTTTTTTTAAAGACCTGTCTTTACAAAAAGTGAACTCCGCCTTTTATTTTCATTTATTCTGAATTATNCCAAATGTCCATGCGGTTTCCCTTGTTGATTTGTTTTATTATTTTTATGTTCTCTGGTGGGGGGAAATTATGTTTGTTTTGTATGGCGTGTGTTGCAAGG